CCAGCTCCGGGTGAGTTTTATGGATATAAAGTACCACAATTATTATGAAAATACCACTTGAGGGGGTGGGGGAATGAAGTTTTGTGGGAGTTCAAATATAGGCAATGAAACTATAATCATATTATTTGGAAGTTTAAAGGGAGTTAGATCTCAGAGTAGTTTGGAAAAGTACTGCAGAAAAGCAGAGTATTACAGCAGCTTAAATTGAACACATAAATATATTAATATGTTGACTACATGACTATTGCTTCTTCCCTGGGTCCACAGTAAGAGAAAGAGAGAGCTGTTTATATTCTAATGTCCACGGAAATGACACATAGCACTGTATAAACATGTACTATGGCAGAATGCCCTACTGGACTTCACTTTAGAAGTGCTACCATTGAACATATCAGCATACAATACAATATCCTGGTCGAGTGGTAATGAATTATAAATTAACCACAATTGAATCCTCCCTCTATCAAGAAATGTATTATTACACTAAGTCCCTGATTAATTATTAAGAAGCTTCTCCTTATAAATTTTATCTTCTTTTCTTTGGTTTTGTCCCTGGGGACACACAGAGTAGCTATAAGCCAAAGCCTTCATTTATTCAATGAAATACTTTTAGTCCTGTGATTGAAATTAAATTAAATTGTAATTAAATGCCTCTATTCACCACAATAGAACACACACACAAACACACATACACATACACAACACACACAGATATGTACATAACTATATCCTAGCCAGCAACACTAGTGTTTTAATGTTGTTCATACTTTTGTCTGTATAAAATAATACAGCTGTATGTTGCATATAAAGAAATACTGCATTACTTAATCTGGAAAGCCTTTATTCTTTATCCACCAATACACTAAGCAAGCAAGCAGTGTAAGCCCTTAATTCTTGAGGGAGGGCTCATATCTTGTCATCTCCAACTCCCAAATGCACGTACATTGAGCAGATAGTGGATCCATGAAAAGATGCTCTATGAGAAATATTGGCTTTCTTAGGAGTTCTGGTATATTGCATGCTTATATACATTTACATCAATACAGATTAATAAGATATTTTTATGCAAGAGTGCTGCTGGTTTTCTTTTTTAAATGTTTTTTTCCAGTTGGTAACTGAAATTCAAACCAAGCTGTCTAGTCTCCGAGACAAAGCAATGTATGGTCATCTGTGACTAAAAGCCACTTTAGATAGAGTCCATGTTAACTGTTGAGACAGCTGTTTCAGGGGTTCCCATGGCATCATGAGGCCATGTTTCCCCTGGCCCCCTCTATCTTTCAGGTAGGACTGGTCAGAATGAGAAGGCTACTGATTTTATCCTGATCTTATCTACTTGTCTTTCTCTAGGCATGCTCGTTTTTTTTCTGCTGTGTCTTTGTTCATCCTGTTGAAAAAGACCTTGCCTCGCTGCTACACAGAAAAATGCCATAAGAGGAGCTTTAAAAAAAAATTAACAGAAAGCCTTTGTTCTATTATGAAGTCTGTTTGCGAGACACCAGCAAAAGCCAAGGAAGGAAACTGGCTGGGGCAACCCTTACTCGTGTGCTTTGTTCATTTTGTACAAAAAGACAATCTATGGAGATTTTAACCAGTTTTAAACAGCATAGCATATTTATTCCAGGGAAATATAAAGATAGGTGCACACACAAAAAGTCCTGCACATGAATATTCATAGCCGCTTCCCCCACAATAGCCCTCAACTGGAAACAGCCCAGATGTCCTTCAAGGGATGAATGGGAAAACAAACTGTGATATTGTCAGGATTACAAAAGGGACAAATATTGATATACCTCACAACTTGGGTAAGTCCCCAGGGAACTCTGTTGAGCTAAAAAAAAAAAAAAGGAAGCCACTTCAAAAAGCTACATGCTATATTATACTGTGTGGCAACATCCCTGAAAGGATGAACGGAGAGCGAGAACAGACTGGTGCTTGCTCTGGTGGTGCAGCGGGCTGGGCACTGAGTTGCTAACTAGAAGGCCATTCGCTAAAACCCTCCAACTATTCTGAAAATGAACGACGAGGCTGTCTGCTCCCATAAAGATTGAACATTTCAGAAAGTCAAAGGGGCCGTTCTACTCTGTCCTACTGGGTCACTATATGGTGGAATTGACTCGTTAGCAATGAGTTGGGAGCATTGGAAGGGTTAGTAGCAGGTGCGGGAAAAGTAGGTGTGGCTATAAAAGGGCCACAGGAGGGATGCTGTGAGGACTGACTTGGTCTGTGTTGACTGAATTGATGTCCAAGTTCAGTTGGAACATTGTACTTAATTTTGCATGGTTTTCCATTGGATAAACTGGATACAGAGGATCTCATGCCAATATATGCTTATCTAAAAGATAAAAAGTTTGATTTAAAATAAATACCAAAATACAAAGAAGCAAACGAAAAACCCAGCTTGTGAACAGCCCTGTGAAATCCCTGAGACGCAGCATTACGGACCACGAAGAGCATCCTGCCTAGATTTAATTCTGCTGATCAGCAGGATAGAGGCACAGGACAGGAGGGTCCATGGGAGAGGAGTCAAAAGATCTAGGGTCTATGCTTCGGTTTTCCAAGTATTAACCGCAAGACTTTGGGTAAGACATTCAATCATTTTGCATCTCATGTTCATGATTAAATTGCCGAGAATTTGTTCTCTGCTTTCCTGCATGCAGGAAATAAGACTGCGAAATAAGACTGTGAAAGTGTAATCCATGGATTCCTTTACACACAAACAGGATTCTCAGATGATTCTTCAGTTATGTGTAAAGGCTGAGGTCAGAATGACTCAATTCTGCCAAGAAGAGGTCCCCTTACTGCAGTGGCAGTGGGGAGCTGCCGAGGGACTTCCTACCCATTGAGAGGGGTGAAACATGCACATGATGGAAGAGACATGAAGCAGGGGAGAAAAAGGTCTACAAACACCAGGCAATTCAGGAGATGATTCTTTAGGATTTCCTTCTCCTGGGACTACTGGAAGAGCTGTTTAAAGGCTAAGTTAGAAATTGTTATTCTACAAAATCAGTGGGCTAAGTCAACCTCTGGCCTTAAAAGCACTTGGTTCAGGGTTTAATAGAAATAAAGTTTTCTTATGATAAAGCCAGCATGGTGTGTTGCCCATTCTCTCTGAGGGCAGTACCTGTGCCTGGCTCCTCAGACATAGAAATTCCTTCACAGTTTTCATTTTCCTATTCCACAAACCAAGCCAAACTCGCTGCCATTGAGTTGATTCCAGCTCACAAGGACCCTGTAGAACAGAGTAGAACTTCCCCTTTCGGGTTTCCAAGATGGTAAATCTTTAGGGAAGTAGACAACCTCATCTTTCTTCCATGGGGCAGCGTGTGTTTCAAATGGTTGACCTTGCACTCAACAGCCCAACGGAAAACCCACTAAGCCTCCAGGACTCCTACGCTTACTTTAACTAACTTTGATTACATACATGAAAACATATATTAATTTATTATTGTTCCTCTGAGGATGGTGCATTTATATGGCCTATCAGGCATAGCAATTCCCCTCTCACCTTCACATCCATCTACTTTAAATAAATGAAAGAGTATATAAATGTATTATTTTGGCCAACCAAATTTATTTTAAAAACCCCTTTGACTCATTAATGTATCTAGATATTAAATATTTTTGTACTACTGAAGGAACATGATATCTGCATATTTGATCATTTCCCTTAAGGGTTCATCCAGAAATCAGAAAGACCTAAATAGTTTCTCATTTAAATAATCCTATGAAGCCCTATGAAAAAATATGACTTGGAAGAGTATTGTATTAAGAGTTAGACTCTTTTCTGAACCAGATTCATTCATGAACTAATCATAGCCCGAGTGTCTAGCAGAAAATTACATTCTGTGCTAAATTATCTTATCAGGCCCATGGTAGTGTGTGGAAATCTTGGAAGGAGGGAGGAAGGACACAGGGAAGAGGGGGGAATAAGACTCAAATTTCTCTGTGTTAAGAACATGATGCTCATGGGATAGAGAGAAGGGGATGGGTATCAGATGACTGTGAGACACCAAAACCTGAGAAACTCTTCGTTTCTGCTGTGACTTGGAAAGAGAAATTTTCCCAATCAGATATAGCAAATGAAAGGCCCTTTCTGAATCGCTCCACATCCACTTTCAAATGGGAAAGGCAGCTCAGCCACTTAAGGAAGCACAGAACCAGAGACTGACCCTCAGGAAAGTGCCCTCTCAGAAAAAATATCCCATGTTCCTAGAAAGGAAGACTAAATATAGTGAACATGTCATTATTACCAAAAACACTTTATGAATTCAATGCAATTCTGATACACATTCCAGCAAAATTCATCAATGAAATGGAATAAAAATGATCAACTATATGTGGCAACGAAAGAAACCCAGGATAAACTAAAAAACCAAAGCCAAACCAAATCCACTGCCACTGACCATACTGACTCATAGTGACCCTAATGGATGGGTAGAACATCCCTTATGAGTTTCTGAGACTGTAACTGTTTTGGGATCAACAAAACACTAAAAAAACTAAAACAAAGTAGAAGGCCTATCACTACAAGACTTTAAATCTTACTATACAGCCACAGTAATCAAAACAGCTGGATACCAGTACAATAATAGATTAGAATTGAGAACTCAGAAATAGTATTAACTCCCTACAGACACCTGATTTTTGATGAGGAACTAAAACATATTAAGTGAGAAAGAGAGCCTTTTCAATAAATGGTGCTGGAAAAATTGAATCTCTAGCTGCAAAAGAATGAAATAGGACCCATACCTCAAATCACATACAAAAACAAACTCAAGATGGATTAAATACCTACATGTAGGCCTAGAACCATGAAGACCATCAATGAAAACATAGGGACAAACTTAAGGCCCTAATACAATGTATAAATGCACCACCAAACGCAATGACAGATATCCACACAATAGAAGTCAAAATAGAGGACAGCATTGATGCATATTAAAAATTTCATCAAATAGTTAAAAGAGAACCCACAGATTAGGCAGAATATTTAGCAGTGATGTATCACAGAATCAGCTAACTTCAAAAGTCTGTATTTCTTTTTTTTTTTTTTTTAAAGGCGTTAGCAGTACTACCCTCACTACACGTTCATTGGATAGTAGCGCAACCCCAAGAAAAGGATGGTTCAAAAATCTGTATTTCTACAACACTTTAAGATAAGGTGACCAGACGTCCTGCTTTTGGTGAGACAGTACCGATTTTGGACAATTTGTCCTGTGTCCTGCGGCGTTTTTAAAAAGTCCCGATTTTTGGAAAGAATGCTCGACAAGCTAGAACGGCGGGAGAACGGGAAGGGAATATACGTTTTTCGGCTGCCATGTGGCTATTTCGCCAGGATATGAGATTTATATTATTTTTGTTAATTTTATAATGTTAAACTTTAATAATAACAAATAATTGTTGAGAACTGATTATCGAGAACTGCTTATCAAAGTTCGCATTGTTGAATCAAGACACCCCCCCATCAATCAATGGTGCCCGCTTTACCAATGCTAAAATCTGGTTTTCAGAAGATTCCAGAGGTTATTTCTTATTGAAGATTTAAGATTTTCTCACAGCAATAGAGGTGGGGGAGTATCTAGCTCCTGTGACTCCATAACTTCTGGACTTGATGATAATTTGACATTTTGTTCTGCCATTTCTTCTTTTGGATAAGGATTCTTCTATAAAATCTTTGGCCAAAACCTTCAGTAGTGGTAGCTGGACACCATCCAGTTTGTGGCCTCCGAGCTAGGAAACCAAACCAAATTCAGTCCCCTGCCATCGAGACAATTCCGTTTCAGAGTGACCCTGTTTGGGATTTCCAAGACTGTAAACCTTTATGGGAGCAGACCGCCCCAACTTTCTACAGTGGAGTGGCTGGTGGATTTGAACTGCCAACTTTGGGGTTAGTAGTCCAACATCTAACCCACAGTGCTACCAGCTTTTCTTAATAGTAACAGAGACAGTTGTTAATGGCGGCCATTAGCCACACATCCCCTTTCCTCCCCTCTTTCTGCCTTTCCTTCCTCTGTTGCTCCAGGCAGAGACCAATTGCTGATGGTCACTTCTACACTTCTAAGACCTCAGTCACCTTGTTCTACCAGTAGAGCTGAAGCACAAAACACAATTATTAGGCAAGCTACCTGGTATGTCCCATGACCCCAAACCAAATCTCATATTGTTTTCCATTGCATGGTGATGCAAACATCTTTGTGATTGTTTTTCTTTATAGTAAGGGAGGTTTCAATGTAAATGAGAGTATACAATACTTGTCCCTTTGTGATCGGCTTAGTGCAGCATATCTCCAGCCTCCATCAATGCCTTAAGTGTATCAAGCCTTCATTGCTCTTTCTGACTGAGTAGTATTCCACTGTATGTATGCACCACAGTTTATTGATCTGTTTACTTGCTGATGGCATTTGGGCTATTCTACAGGGTGATCTGCTTCTGAAAGATCACAACCTTGAAAATCCTATCCAAAACCAACCAAACAAACAAAAACCACAAACTCACTGCCATCAAATCAATTCCAACTCACAGTGACCCTAAAAGACAGGGTAGAACTGCCCCCATGTGTTTCTGAGACTGCAACACTTTAAAGTAGTAGAACGTCTTGTCTTTCTCCAGCGGAGTGCCTGGTGGTTTCAAACTGCTGACTTACGGTTAGCAGCCGAACTACTATGCCACGGGGGCTCCTTACAGAGACTTTCTAGTCTGCACTTAGGAGATCGCTGGAAGTTAGAATAGATTCATTGCAACTAACCATAGCAACCAAAAAGGGGGGAGGGGGGAAGCCAACACCTCATTGCCATTGAATCAACGCTGCCTCCTAGTGACCCTCTACAATGGAATAGAACCACTCGGCAGGGTTTCCAAAGCTGTGACTCTCGAGGGAAGCAAACTGCCACATGTCCTTCTTGCCCATGAGTCTGAACTGCGGACTTTTCTGTGGGTCCATTCGTGCCGAGCCATCTGTGCCACATGAGCATCAGCAGAAACAGCAGTGTGCGTTCAGTAGTGTCTTTGTCCGATAAGGCTTTGTCCGAGGTTGATGGTCAACCTGGTGTGTAGCTCAGTAACAGTGTTCTTCCATTTCCAGACTTAGCTGTAGCTAACAAACAGGCATTCATTTTGTCATTGGACACATTTTGATTCTCCACAAGTGAACTCCTGAAATGGGCGAGCTATATAACTGCGGCGGTATTTCACTTTCAGAGAAACGAAATTCTTGCTAGGTGGCACTTGTGTCTGCACAGGTCAAGGTAAAGGAAATGTGAGGATGTACAGTTAGGAGAAACCATAGCACCAGCAGCTACTAACACAGAGAATATAAACATATGTACAAGAGGCATTGGATACATTCGTGGTGTAATCTAGGGAAAATATTTTCAGTACATTTCTCCCCCCACCCCACCCCACACTTTTGAAACTTTAACCTCAGAAAGGCAGGAAAATAACAGTTAATGCAGCCTTTTCTTTTTTCTTAGAGAAAAATAAGTGTCATGTGATATGTGTCATTCCAGATGGTTCTATATATATATTAACATCGAATTTAGTCATAGAACTGGTTGGTGTATTTATTTTCTGTAAGCTTTACATAGTATCATAGGGTAGGTGGGATTCAGCAAAACCTGCTTCTTTTCTCCTTCTATTTTAATTGAGAAATATTTGATGTGTTCTCTCAAAATCATTTTTATGAATTAATTCATTTTTAAAATAATAATAACTATACTATTCCATGATATATAAATACTAACACTTGCATCTTGACTCTTCTTTTGAGATTCTTTAAAGATGATGTAATTCATGACAATAATTTGAAACATAGCCATCTTTGTGTGAAAAAAAAAGACAAAAGAAAGCAAAACTCCCTCAGCACTCAGCACTGATTTTTCTCTTCTCCCAAGATTACCTTGGACGCACAAGTCAATAGTAAGCCAATCTTTACCTTTTAAGACACTGCTTTCTCTATGGCAAAACACCATCAAAACAATTCCAATAATGCATGACCCGAGGTGGGACTGACTTTCCCCAGAGTAAGAAGAGCATAGCTTTTAGGATCTGAATGCTAAGCGGCTGCTGGTTAACAAAACCCAGAAGTCATTCTTAACCAGCCACAGGGCTTTGATCTCCCTCTCCAAGTCCAATCTTCTGGAGTACAAATAAAGGCATTCTTTTCCAGGAGGGCAGCTGAAATGACACACAAACGTAGACAGTAGGCTGTTATTTCATGTAATTTCATCTGAATAGCAGGGCAGAGTGGCCTCCAGGGCAGGGCAGGACTGGTCAGCTCTACAAAGGAATGCCAAGAGACTCCATCTGTGTCTCTCTCTCCTCTCTCTCTCTCTCTCCCTCTCTCTCTTTCTCTCTCACTTGCCTGCTCTATTGCTCTCTCGCGCTCTTGTGCAAACTCTCCCATACCCTCTCTCTGTCTCTTTGTCAATCCTCTGCCTATACAATTCCTTCCATTACTGACAGAGTAGACCCTTTAAGGAACTAGACTCTGGGACATTTTCTAGTTTACCACCTGGGTGGTCTTTGGGGGTCCTCTAGTTGCTGTTGATCCAGTAAGTCAGGAGTTCTCTTAGGAATTGAAGGTTTGTTCTGCGTCTTTTCTCCCATTTTGTTCAGGAACTCCTAGTGTGTCCCTGGTCAGAGTGATTGGTTGGTAGCGATAGTTCCTCTGGTCTGAGACTAGATGTGGTCCTGGTTTGTGTGGGCCCTTAGTTTTGGGGGCTAGTTTCTTCTTTGAATCTCTGGGTTTCTTCCTTCCCTTCTGTTCTAGACAAGTAGAGCCTAACAAATGTACCTCAGATGGCCACTCATAAGCTTTTAAGATCACCCAACTACGATGTAAAATGTTATTTTTAAGAATGATGTTTTTTCTAATTGGCTAAGTTGTCCCTGAGACTCCAATGGCCTTAAGCACGTTAAGCTCATAAAACAATCGAGTGAGGTATTTACATATGTCTAGACTATATTCATTAGGAATCCTGAGGATGTCGTTGGCTAGCACTGGGCTGCAATCTTTAAGGTCCAAAGTTGGAAACCACCCGCTGCGTTGTGGGAGAAAGACAGATATTTCTTTTTTTTTTATCATTTTATTGGGGGCTCATACAATTCTTACCAAAATCCACACATCCATCCATTGCATCAAGCACATTTGTACATTGGTTGCCATCATTAGTCTCAAAGCATTTTGCATTCTACTTGAACCCTTGGTATCAGCTCCTCATTTCCCCCCTCCCTCATGAACCTTGATAATTTACAAATTATTATTATTTTGTCATATCTTACACTCTCCGATATCTCCCTTCACCCACTTTTCTGTTGTCCATCCCCTAGGGAGATCCTTGTAGTTGGTTCCCCCTTTCCACCCCACCTTCCCTCCACCCTCGCAGTATTGCCACTCTCACCGCTGGTCCTGAAGGGATCATCTAGAAAGACAGGTGTTTCTATCCCTGGAACAGTTACAGTCATGGAAACTCCCTTGGGCAGTTCTACTTTGTCCTATAAGATTGCAAAGAGTCAGCATCCACTCAATGGCAAGGAGATGAATTGAGAGGTATAACCATAACTATGCCATGTTTTATTCTATATGAAGATGCACATATGTGCATAGAGATACAACAGACATAAACATCTGGTTCTTCTGGTCTCAGGTTCCATGAAATGGACTAATTGTTTCTATGTATTTTCAATTTCCATCACTCCTCTTTCCTTCAGACAAGAAGAGACCAATTATATCTCAGATGGTCACACCCAAATTTGTAAAACTCCAGTCTTGATTGTTTCTCACCAAAGTAGGATGCAGAGCATTGTGTGTGTGTGTGTGTGTGTGTGTACTATGTTATGCCGATTAACCTTGGTGTTGCCCAAATTCTGAGCCCAGCAACTCATCCCCTCAAAGTCTTTGGTTATGCCTCAAAGGTTTTCATAACATTTAGACTATAACTTCTTGCCTCTTGAAAGATAACTTAGAATTTAGCTTTTAGATTTTAGAATTGAGGTTTTAATTTTAGATTTGAGGTTTTTGATTGGTCTCCTTATTGTCCATTCCAGGGTGCTTTATGACTGCTATGGATGGAATTGTATACCACAGAAAGATATATTGAAGTTCTAAATGCCATACTTATAAATTAC